AACCACAAAAACCGCAAATGAATGGAGTCAATAAAATAAAACTTGTTCATGTAGATATCCATATCTCGTCTCCAAACGTGCAATTAATCCACGTGCTTCATACATGTACCATCTTTGATTCTCTGCATGCTCTCAATTAGTAGAGGAATGTTAAATCTTGTATAATGAAACATGGAGAAATCGAACGGTATTCTAGCTCAAAAGTCTATTGAAACAATAAAAATCGGGAGCAGAGCAAACATGGAATCCTAAATATCAGAGGTGGTATCAGGTGCCATGGAGGAGTAAGCATCCAGTAAGCATCCAGTTCGACCGGTCACACCCGCCGTGTGCTCCTTGTCATGATAGGGCAAACTAAAAAAAAATCCGTAGACAATTCAGTGTGTAAATAATGGTCTGATATTGGTATAAAAAAGGTTAGTCAGCATTCGACTTAATGATAGATTGTACTTACTGACAAGGTCACTGTATCGACCATAGAACTTGCTAAATGATGACTTCAATCGAGAATGTTGATCTCCTTGTCCCATCAACTTGTTTGTCAACAGCTTGCTTCGTTTTAGAAATTGTTCGTACGTAGAGCATGCTCTTGCGCATCGAATCAACTGGGAGACATAAACCCCATATGCAGGTGATAAGGGTACATTGCTACACAAGTAAGGGAAGTTGACAATTGAAAAATTGAAGTCATCACGTATTTCATAAAGTTTTGTTATTAGATTACTATTACTATCTTTATCTAGTGAAATATCCAAATATGTAACAGATGTGTCAGACTCTGTGATATCTTTTATTTCAAGTTCACTTGGATATATCGAGTCGACATATGGATGGAAGTACTATCATTAATTGATAATACTTCATTGAAATATCTAGATGTCGAGTTGAAGACTACAGCAAGTGTTTTCTTCTCATTTATAAGTTTTTTAATACATTCTGCTTCATATGAATACAAACATAGGCCTGCTAATTAGGGGCGCAATTGGTACCAATGGTTCGTTTTTCTAACATATTTTTTGAAGACCTAATCTCTAAATATTACAAAGATATTGTCAATCAGAAACTCAAGCATCTTTTTATATCAACTTCAGGATACTTGTTTGTAGAATCAGAATGTTGTTTAAAGAAATAATTTTGCAAATTACCAATGACAAGGTAAGTAAATTTAAAAAGAAGAAGAAGAAACATCAAATTTGTTCGAACAGATATATAATTCGCTAAGTTGTCAAATACCGAGTTCGACTGAACAATTCAAAAACAATTTAGTCTACTTTCTTCCAAGTGTATTTAATTTGTCAGAGGGAAGAACTTATTTGTCCACCAAAATATCTTGTTCGTCCGAACAATGAAGAAACTTGTCAGAATTATTACCTTATTTGTCAGAACATTTTCGTCCGAACAATAATTTTTTTCTTGGTTTCAATTGCACCATACTATTGTATTATATTCCGTATTTATAAAAGTTATGGTCTTCGTGGATTTTTGTAAATTTGTTAAACTTATTAAGATTCTTAAACTACAAATTGCATAACCTTACCAAAAAATGAAAAATAAATGTACATGCTTACAAGGTCATTAAAATGACCCAAGAATTTTCGAAATGCTTACTTCTTTCGAGACTGTTCAAAGCCCTGATACATCATCTATTTTGTCAGTATCATGCCTGTTTAAAAGTTGATCGTATAGAGCATGCGTACCGAATATGTTAGGAGACTTACACACCATATGCAGGCGATAGTAGAATTTTACTACATAAAATACATATGAGAAGTACGTGGCCAATTCAAAAATTCATCCCGTTTGTCAATAGTTTGGTTGTTAGTTGGGAATAGGTGTCTGTAATTAATAAAGTATCCAAATATGAAATGGGTGAAAGAGAAAGATTATTAAGATAACAGTTTAAACCAATACCACTGTGACGTACCTATTTTGCGATTTTTATTATGTGCTGAAAACTCAATATGAAGATAACGACCAGTAATCAAGCTCAAAAGTCCATTGGAGAAGAGCAAATACGGACCTTTAAAATACATCAAAAATGGGATCAGGTGCCATGGAGTGGTATGCATACCCTTTCAACCGGTCACACCCGCTATTGTTCCTTGTCATGATCGGGAAACAGAAAAATCCGTAGACAATTCAGTGTGAAAATAATGGCCTAATAATTTGAATGAAAAATGTCAGTAAAAATCGACTTAAATATAGATTGTATATGCTAACAAGGTCACTGTATCGACCATAAAATTTGCAAAATGTTGACATAACGAGACTGTTAAAATCCGTGTATAATCAACTTACATGTATTTGTCAATATTTGTCAATATTTTGTTTCGTTTTAGAAATTGTTCGTAAGTAGAACATGCTCTCGCGTATCGATCATTTGCCATTTTGGGAGACATAAACTCCATATGCAGGCATACTGGTAAATTGCGACATGGATAAGGGATGTTGACGATAGACAGGAGAGTAGCAAGAAGCACGCTGCAGAGACGCTAGCAATGGCAGATGCGTTGACAGTTGAATGAGAAATTTACCAACAACCCTTAAAGCTGAAGTCACGTTTATCATAGTTTTTTTTCATAGTTTGCCATTAGTGTCTTTCTCTAGTAAAATCTCCAAAAAGGTATAATAGATCTATAACATGTAAATGCTGTTATATCACATTTTAATTGCGTGTTCTTCCACTGTTCGTCAGAAAATTTTTAAGAGAATTAAACGTTGAGAACCAAACCTTGTCATCAATCACCTCATTTAAACTTTGTATCACTCCGTTGGGAAGGGGGGTCATTATTCAATTAAAGTAGCATATGTAGAAAAATTTACCCCTAGGGTTCTTTTTCTACAAAAAAATTACATTTCTCTACGGCTGGGAGGTCATTTTTCAACGGCAAAAAATGACCCCAGGTCATTTTTCTACGGGGCTCATTATTCGTCTTTACACATGATGATCATATAATGTCTTCTTTATTTTATGATATTTTGGCAAATTATCAACGTATCGAGCTAATTTAAGATTTTCTTAAACTTTTGTTGTTTTGTTTATGTTCTTTATAATTTTTGTAAGCACAGCTAGACTACATAGTATTAATTTTATCGCATCAGTCCACGAACTTTTTGATAACCCGTCGTAGATCCTTATTGTCCTTAGATCCTTAAAGAATGCTTATTAGTATGAATAGAAGTCATATCATCATTGAAAATGTGTTGCAAACCTGACCGTAGAAATATGGATCTGAAAGACAGGCAGATCCTGTTATTAATAGATTTATTTGGTAAAAATGTTCTTTTTGTCTTTATTTTCCAAATTAGAAAGCAAGGAATCATATAAAAGATTTCCCATGCTAGGGAGCAAAAAATCAAATGCACTCCTGACATAAATGGATATGCACAGATACTTGACTCTCATTAATGCTGCTTGCGATACAAATAACCTTGATAATTTTAAATAGTTTATCGGTTATTGTTTTACACTTTGAAAATTCTTTTTTGACTTAATTGTCATACCGATTTCTAAAACCGTTGATTTTTTGGCAACATTACATTTTTTCTGTGGCATTGGTATACTGTAACATTTTTCCAGCATGACTCCTGACCGCGTAACTTGGACAAACAAAAGTTAATACGGTCCAAATTATTGAATTTTATCAGAAAAGTCTTAATTTCCAACATTAACCATTATTACATATTTCACTGATATTCGAAAAAATATTAAATTTTCAAAATGTCACAAAAAGGTGTTGCATTCCTGACATTTTTAGCATCAGTTTTGGCACTCTTTTGTGACTTAAGATTTGGCATGTATTTAGCCAATATCAAAAAACAAATGCTGAGTCATGGAAATTTATTCCTATCGCCTGTATTTTTAGTGCAGGTTGATAAATACATGCGTCCAGTCATTTTTAATTCCCCTTTAAACACTTTAATTTAATTGAATAAATAATATGATAAAACTTACCATAACTTTTTTTTTCTAAATACAGTTTCCTCTTCACGTAAGTCATTCATGTTCTCCCTCTTTCCTTAATTATTTAGTCCATTGTTCAATAACTGACTAAAACAATTAAATATAGCAGGCTCGTAGGAAGCAATATCAGTTTGGGGAGGGGTGGGGTGGGGGAACCAAGCATTTTCATTGGGGGGGGGGGGTACTACAAAAATTCAAAAATTCTTTGAAAGGCAAAAATTATTATTGATGGAACACATGCAGATAATAGCTATGTTTTCTATAGTATTCTATATATCAACCAAATTATGGGGAGGGGGGGGGGCGCCATGCGTAGTTATTCCACGATAATTAACAGGATCACTGGGGTTATGTTTGCTGTTGCAAAAAGTGTAAATCACTCCTTCAGATCAAGCTTCAAGTATAATTCCAGTCTTAAAATCGAGCTAGCATATTTTGGTCAAAGTATAGATCATCTTTGTTTTTGATTTTGTTTTAGATCTTGAAATTCTTCGCGGTTCAATATAAAGTCATTTTCACAAGCTTCATTGTTTTTCAATGATAAAACCATCTATAAATCTAGAATGCAATTTCAGCATTCATTGCAGATCAGTATTTAATTATGTAATTTTTTTTAATACCAATATCATAAAAGTCACCATCTCTAAATTGTTTAAATTCAATTGCTTAAAATGATTAATTTTTTTAATATATTTTGGCAAACCTTATCTTAGATCATTCTACTCTGTGTACCTGAGTATGATAACAGACCTCAAAAAACTACAATCGATACAAATCTGTGAACAGGACATAAACAAGGACCATTTCAGAGGTGGGTGCCTAGAAGTATATATACAAAACAACTGCCTAAGCTCAGGTCCCTTTGCTTAGTGGCTCATTAAATCTTTTTCCCTTTTATTGAGGTCAAATTAAGTTTATTTCATCATTGTAATTAGCATCACAGTTTAAAACAAACAAAACACGAAGTGATTAAAGTTAGCAAAGTCGAGTGCATGAGTATATTATAACAGGAAGTCACGCAGCAGTTACCTTTCTTGATACACAGCCAACAGAAAGGACAAAATCATGGGTCTGGCTGACACAGTTTACAGACTTGTATTCAGGCGAACTTCAACATTTGCCGCAGCTGTTCTTGGCACTGCCATTGTTTTTGATGCATATTTTAATGATTTCTTTGACAGATGGATAGCACAACATAACGCAGGTGTAAGTGTTTGACCTTTTGTTTTTAATCCGTTCGAATTTCCTCGTATGAAGCCGCATCAAAATATAAATATTTCAATGAATAAAAGATATGACGTCGTTCATAAAAGATGTTTTATAGTGTTAAAGACATATAACTCTTAACGTAAAAAATGAGCTATTTTTAAAGCATTTAAAAACATGAAAAATGTGTTATAAAGTATTTTTTTAATGTAACAGACATTTTAAAACAGAATACTGTACGGTACATTTAATATACTTTACTTTAGTCCTTTAATTTTCCTTAAGATATATAACTGCGGGTATCTTATAGAAGCCATTTTTTAGTTACTAAAACTTTGATTTAATTTTTCAAAACCTTGAAATATACACTGTATATATACATTTATTGACTGGGTAGCATGCGTTTTGTTGGACCCAAGAACCAAACTGTTTGCCTGAAGCTGTTAGGCCGAAAGCAAACAGTTTGGTTTGAGGGTTCAACAAAATGCATTTTACCCGAGAACCCAGTCAATAAATGTTTTGTTATGATTATACCTTTTATTTTAAGATTTATATAGGAACAATTTTTTAAAGGTATAACAATATACATTTATAAGGACAACATGCGTTTGTCAGACCCAAGAAACGAACAAACAGCCTTAGGGCTTTAAGCCGAAAGCAAACAGTTTGGTTTGAGGGTTTGACAAAACACATTTTGTCCAAGAACACAGTCAATAAATGTTTTGTTATACCTTTTATTTATTTATTTATTTTTTAATTAAAATACATGTAATTTGTATCCATGTCATGAATGCAGATAAGATTAAGCTGATCTTGCTCACAATTTGAAGTAAGCAGTCCAGTATCTCACTCTGTGGTCAAACATTGATGTTTTTATGACCGCTCAGTAAAACGTTGGAAATCTTTTTTACCATAGATTTGTATAGGTCCTAGAACCATTTTTAAAGGTATAACAAAAACAATTACAGTGTTTCCCTAAGAACTAGCTACCGGCCAAATTGACTGCTTCCATTGATTAAATTGCCACATTAAAATAAAAAAAATCAAAATTGAATTGTTGTAAGGTCCACAGAGATATGTCATAAACTTCAACCCAATTGATCTCTAATCCTTTACTTTGAAACAAATGGAAAAATTCATATATAACAGGCTTGGAAAAGTGTAGCTGCAGAACTGTAGCTCTCTAGGACAGAAAATTTCGACAGACATTCCTGACATACACTCACTGTATCTGGTATTTTTCTGTCCAAATTTTCTGTACCAGAGAGCTACAGACCTGCAGCTAGTAAAAGTGTTGGGTAGTCTGGGATCAAACCCTGGACCTCCCGCTTACTGTGCTGATGCTCTACTACTGAGCTACTGAGCCAAGAGACCCAGTCCATTTTGCACTCTTCCTTCATTTATTATATGGTTTTCCGCCCTTAAAAACTCACTGAGACTCTTGTAAACCACCCGTGGGGTGCCAGATATAACAGTTAGGGAAATGTTTTGACCAGACTGAAACTCAAGCCAAGATCTCCTGCTAACCTTGCAGATGCTCTACCATTGAGCTACTCTACCTGAATTTTGGAATCAATCCAAATGTACCCACTGAAGAACCAAAAAAATGTAATGATTGCCGAAAACAGTCTAGCTTTTTCATTTCAATTATAAGATAATATCCCATTATTTCTAACCTGTAAAACAAAGAGAACAATATTTGTTACCTTTCATATCTTTAATATATGGATTGCAAGCTTTCCCATACTTCAATGCAGTCATTTTATATAATAATATTTCATGATGTACATGTAGCAAGGGTAGCCCTGTAATTGATTTCTTACAATAGAATATTAATGTACAATAACATTTTTTTTATCACTATTAATTCATTGAAGTTTGTAAGGTAAATGTAGATGTATATTATTGATGTCTTTAATAACTAATGAACTCATAGCTGTGCAAAGTTTTAATGATTTGAATATTCCACCATATCTTTTTTGTGAGATTCATCATTCTGTAGAAATCTAATGTATATACAGGGTCATTTTGTACTATGTTATTTTCTGTCTATCACACTTGCAAACAATTTTGCCCCTTTTTAAATTCACTTACACTTGCATCCAGGGCAAAAGGAGCAAATAAAACAGAGGCGAAAATTTCCCTGTTCGTAGTATTTACCGTATATACTCGCCTATAACCTGTTTTTTTTTTTGTGTTTTTTATTTTTTTGGAGTTTAACTTTGGTCCAAAACTTGTTATCTGACTTATACGCGAGTTATAAAAAGATTTGTATTTTAATGGGTCAATCCCTCTAATATGAGCTTAAAAAATACAACCAACTTATAGGCGGACCGACTTAAAGGCGAGTATATAAGGTGATTTGGAAGTTTGGAGAAGAATTTTCTTTCTTTATTGTCTATGTTGCTATAAAACCAGCCCTATGACATGCTAAAGTTACGATGCTATTTTTTTTTTTTTGTCTTTACAGAGGCGGTATGAAGATTTGAGAAAGATATATCCTGAGGCTGTTAGCAGTGGTGGTGAAGATGATGATGACTAGGAATACCTATAGGATATCTAGGGATTATACTGACTACTGGTTAATATGTGATATGATGTTAAAAAAAAAAACAACAAAACTGTTGGAAAATGCAGTCACATGTATGATTGTGATATTATTGTGTGTGAAATGTAAAAAACCAACACATTAATTTAATAACATCTATTTTAAAAGTTTCTATTTGTTTTGTTGTAATATTGTTTTGAGATTTAGATAAATAGAGAATTCGAAACATAGTTTAACTTCATTATCTTGAAATATAGATATCTCAAATATCATGGATATGTCAAAGTGTGTTAAATATCCCAACCACTCTTAGGGGAAGGGGGGGGGCTCTATTGATTATATATTGAAAGTGCATTATTATTTTTGAAAAGCTCCTGCTCTGCTGGTGTGTATTAAGCAAACAAACCAAGTATACAGTTATGATGATCAAGGGTGCCTCTTCCAAAATTGTGATTTCTTGGCCCATGAGTCAATGGTTCTGGTGTTAGGGTGGGGCTATGCTGAATCTATAGTGAAAATGCATTTTTTTTTTGAAAATCTTCTCTGCTCTTGGTCCCATTATCGTAAACAGACTTAAGTCAAAATTTCAAACATCTGTGAGATAGTCATTACTTCTGAACTTCCTTAGGTAGTGTAGATTCTAAATTGTTCAAATCATGGCACCTGGGCATTGGGTGGGGCCACAATAGGGATTCAAAGTTTTACATTGAAATATATAGGAACAATCTTTGAAAATCTTCTTCTCAAGAACCACTGGGCCAGAAAAGCTGAAACTAATGTGGAAGCATCCTGGGGTAGTGTAGATTCTAAATTGTTCAAATCATGACTTCTGGGGTAGGATGAGGCCACAATAGGGAATCAAAGTTTTACATTGAAATATAATGGGAAAATCTTCTCAAGAACCACTGGGCCAGAAAAGCTGAAACTTATGTGGATGCTCTCTGAGGTATTTTAGATTCTAAATTGTTCAAATCATGGCTCCCAGGGATAGGGTTGGGACACAATAGAAAATCAGATTTTTACCTTGAAATATATAGGAAAAATATATAGATTGTATATATATAAATACATTGAAATATATAGGAAAAGCTGAAACTTATGTGGAGGCTTCCTGAGGTAGTTCAGATTCTAAATTGTTCAAGTCATAAAGCACAATAAGTATGACAAGGTTGAATGGTGAAGAACAGCAGGGCCATAGTTTTCAAGTGAGCATTGTGGCCCATGAGCCTCTTGTCGAAATTCTGCACCATTTGGTCAATTTATTAATTTGTATTCTACTTAAAGAAGTTATTCCCCTTAGCTATTCACCTATGGTAATTAATCCTGCTAGTAAATAATGTAGTTGAAAGGTCAATTGAATAACAAAATTATACAATTTTTTTAATAATATATTTACTACAAAAGTAATTCAGTTTCAATGGTCAGGTAGACTTTTAAATAATAGACGAACAAAACTGGAACAAAAATACCTTATCTTTGACCATTATATGTTCTTCAAAGACTTGTGAGAGGGAAAGGGATACCCTAACTAATAGTGCTCAAGAATTATTTGTTTCGTTTAACCCGCATGGGGATAGTGACAAAGAGGGGCAAGTAAATAGATCAACTTTAAGATTTGTTACTGAGCACTAAATTAGTTATCTGTATTTTGCTGATCCTTGTTCATCCTAGTTCTCTTGCTTTGGGGCAACATAACTTCATCTGTCAGCGTATTTTGTTTTATTTTATATTCAATCTATGGATCCTTTATGGTGTTACATTATACCCAGGTGACCGTTAAGGCTCTTGGCCTTGGGCCTCTTGTATATAAACTTCATTTTTAAAAGCTTTCCCGTGATTGATATGAATAGTATAAACGAGGGTTATTCCAAAAGTAGTGTCACAACCGCTATAAAATCTTTAATAACCACATTTAACAAAATTTGACATACTAATACCCCTAGATCTTTTTTTTATATTTCCCCTAAAATTTCATTTGAATATATAAAATACTTTATCAAAATATTAAAGTAAACAGAACTTCAGGTTCTGCCTATCGCCGCATCGCAAGAATGTGACCGACGTCGTTATGACGTTACTTTTCGGTACTCATCTTCAGTTCATCCGCATATCTTTTTTACCTCTCACGCAGGCACGTAGCAACAGGGGGCCTGCCCCCCCCCCACTTTTCTCCAAAGACTTTTTTTACTTCTTGAAATGTTAATTGAAAGGCCGCCTCCTCCCCACTTTTTGTTGTAGAATAGTCAAATAAGGGTTTTGTAGTAGTGTATGAATAAAATTTGGCACTGAAAGAAGTTGGAACCTACCTAAACACCCCCCGAAATAGGATTTTCGAGTTCTCGGACAATTTTCCTCTTTTTTTTCTTTTTCTTTTAGCTTGTCAAGATTTTTTTCAGGTAAGTTGAATTTTTTTTTTCTGTGGCTGCCCCTCCTTCAAAAACGATGCTACGTCCCTGTCACGTGCTTCTTTTTAATAATCTTTGCTGCTATTATACTATAAACTGTCTTGTTTTGAGTTGTAGCATTAAAATCATTTGAACCTTGTCCAAATGTTATTTCTAAATCCATTCCTTTTTGCGTAATTAAATCTTATGCCTCATCAGATTCAAAATGAGTGTCGAAGAGAAACGTCATAGCGACGTCGGTACATTCTTGCTATGTGGCGATAGACGAGATAGAGGTACATGTAGAATATAAAGTTTTGACGAAAACTTTCAATTTTAATTGCAGTTGTGACATTTCTATTGAATCAGCCCTCGTAACACTACTTTTGGTTCAGCCCTCGTACATTACTATTCCAGTACATGCAACTATATTGGTTGTCAAAAAGACTTGATGCTTATCGAAAAGTTAAGAAATTTAATCAAGGTATACCATTCTGTACACGTGTATTCGAAAATATCATTTACAAGAAAGTTTGGTGGAAAGCATCCCTTGATAAAGCGAATTTTGTTTAAGTCAGAACAGGTGATGTCAAAAATTTAAAATGGATGGGACAGTTAAACCTGGTTGATATACTTAGATTGTTTTTGAAAGTCACCTGATCTAACTAATATGTGAGTTGACTGTTATAAAAGAATTACAAAATCAATGCAGTACAGATGCAACACTGTAACTGACTTGCGGTTTAGAAGAAAGTAGTATAGATGTAGGCCCCTATATACCCTGAAACCATGACAAATGAATTAAAAGCAACCAATTAATTATTGAAATTACAAAGAAATGTATAACAATGAATATGTTTTACTACAGAATAGTAGGTGGAATTCAATTTTTGAGCACACTTGAATGTACTTCAGAAGTAAAAAAAAAAAAAAAAAAACTTCAATTTTTAATTACGTGTATCCTATTTTCAGAATTTTTAAATTCACTTCATCCCCACAGTGCTTTGTGTCGAATTTAAATTTGGTCCAAATCTATACATGGAAAGTTATCCACAACAAATGTGTACAAACTGTGTAAGGGTTCAGTAATATAGCACTGAGTTGCTTATTTTTAATTTTGGCGATATTAAATAAACATTTTGTTTCCGTGTCATTTTGGAGTTGATTGGAATTTATTAAAACATTTTTATACATGCACAAGAGACATTATCGCGATGGTTTCTATTGCATTTCATTAGTTATACTTTACATTTGTATAGGTAATTCCATAGAGAGAAAAAAATATGCAGTATGGTCCATAACTCACTTTTCACAAAATAAAGTCCTGTTGGAGGTAGTTTAATTAAAAAATATCAAAATTAAAAATTTTGAATAGTAAATCCACGAACCCTACAATTATTGTTTATACACCACCCTACAATTATTGTGTATACACCACCTTACAATTATTGTGTATACACCACCCTACAATTATTGTGTTTACACCACCCTACAATTATTGTGTATACACCACCTTACAATTATGTGTTTACACCACCCTACAATTATTGTGTATACTTCAACCTACAATTATTGTGTATACACCACTTTACAATCATTGTGTATGCACCACCCTACAATATTGTATTCTCTACCAGGAGTTGTTTCCCTTTGACTATACTACTTCGTTTGCTAATTTAAATGAAATTTGTACAAATGGTACTCTATATAATTTTTTCATTGCGAATTGTTAACCTTTAATTTTCTGTCCAATCAAAGAACCACCTCCTCTACAGGTGGGGATTAATGAAGAGTCATTATAAAGTACTAGTATTACGTTAACAATTTAAGAGACGACAAAGTCTAAAACTGTTGACTAGTATATTTACTAGTATATAAATTATAGGCAAATAAGGTTGAAATGAATTCTTTTGTTGAACATTGTTCTTTTATGCTTTTTTAAGCATTTAGAAATTTCGATATTTTTTGCTATAATACAAAATATTGAAATGGGAAAAAATATAGTCATACATATAAATACATGCACATCATCATAAGTTTTATAAAGATAAATATGTTATAAATCTGAAAGAAAACTTTTTTTCAAATATATTTTACAAAAACTGTTACAATCTGACTAACGTTAGTCGTGAATCTAAAAGTAGTACAAAGAGTTTGTAAAAAGCACTATTTCCATATATGATTCAGCATATCATCTTTTCGACATAATATGCACTTTAATATTGAATATGTAATTGATCTTTGCTTACGTGTGTGCATGTATGTTTAACTAGCGTTGTCGGGGTTCGATTTCTTAAAATTGCTTTATTTCCATTTATCCTAAGATTTATCTAAAAGTTTTTAAGTTTTTTTTTAATTATATGAACCGCCATATCTTTTAATAAGAAGAAAAAAAAGTATTATATCCATATCGCTTTAAGAAAAATTCATGTCACTTTTGAGCAGCATACTTGAGGATTATTACTGAGGGTCGTGTATAAATTGTTCGTATGTTTTTCATTCTATGTGTGTACCAGAATGTAATGACCAAATATTTTTTTTTAGAGTATTAATTTACTATTTCACTGCAACAGTTTTTTTTATTGCTACATGATAATGTCCATTGTAAAATCACTGCCTTTGAAAGGAGAAAAAAAGTGTAAAAATAATTGGGTTTCATTTTAACAATGAAAAACATCGATTTTTTTTTCAAATTAATCACGAGACTTTGTAACTTAGAATTGGGTACTCCGAGGGAAATTCTTTTAAAAATAAAGTTAACCATAAGATAGCGGTTAAATCGTTGA